ACAAAAAAAAAAACAGAAAAAAATTGTAATTATATAAAATAAAAATTCCTAGCCCCGCCTTATAAACTTATTATTATAATTTTTAAATTACTCTTGGTAATTTTTTTAATTTTTTCAAATTTTTTTTTTGTTTTTTTTATACACATATTGTTCAGTAAAATTGAAGATGACAGCAAAGTTAAAAAAATTCGCTGTGGTTGAATTTCTTGATGAAAAAAAAAAAAGTTTGTGTGCCACGGACGTTATCTGTTCGTCATGGCTGATCAATGAAAGTTTAGTGTTTTGGCCCAATCATTTGGGATCATCTCGCCGTTTAACGGCCATACGCGAAGCCACACTTACTCCTGAAAGTAATTAGAAACAGTTAAAAATAAGAATTCTCTATTATTCTGGTAATTGTCGTTATTATGTTATTATTCCTTGTTTAATTTTACGTTACACACATGCTAGATGCTAATGATCTAAACAGATATATATATCTTTACTTTAAATTTTTTAGACAGTTATAAAACTGCTGTAGAACGAATGGAAACATTAGAATTCACATCAAGCATTGAAACAGCTGCTGAAAGTGATGAAGAATTGTCTATGCCACCAGCTAAAAAGTTAGCAGTTTGCAATACAAGTGACACTGAGGTTTATCCATCAGTTTCCCCAAGATTAAAGAAATCTTTTAATTGCCAAAATATTTTACAACCCACAACTGTTTGATATATTGAGCCATTTAGTTCGAATCATTCTATACCGATATCTTCCTCTTCTGACCAGAGCTTGGCAACTGTTGTGGCTGCTTTAGGCACCCGATTTTCTGGTAAAGATTTATATTGATGGGTTATTTATTTGAAAGTTTAATTAAATTTACTCTTCAATATATTTTTGAATGTAGTTATACTGTTTTTTTTTTCTCTTTTTTTTGTGTTGACTTTCATAAAAAGCTAATCTATTTGATATGCTTTTTATTAAAGTCAGATTTATTTTTTTATTGAAGCATTTGAGAAGAAAAGTTTAGAGCTGCTTGTCAGTATTCAATATGATTTGAAAAAGTTAAACACTCGCCTAATCAATTTAGAAAAAAGCTTAGTGTTTCCTTCTACTGTTAGCAATCAGAGCATAGCAGGACCATCCCCATCAGTTCAATGGAATTATTTGCCTGTTAAAGAGGAAAAAGAACTTTTAGACCTGGATGAAAAATTACAGAACAAAGACACCTATGAATCTTTGGTATGTATCAGTGAATTGATATCATTTAATAGTTTTTAGAAACAGTTCCATGTGCATTTAAAATTTCTATACTGTAAAATATACTATACATTTGATTTAATTATGATATTGAAAAGAATGCTTTATATAAAGTATCTTAATTAAATTGTGTAGTAGTTTTAACTATTTATGCCCAGTTAGCTCATTTAATATAGCAATGAGCCTTATAATCATAAGGTCTCTCACATTAGAAACTTCAGATTGCATTCATCCTAACTTTTTTTCTGTGGTAAAGACAACCTATACTAGTGAATGAAAAATCTGATGCTATTGTGTAATTATTGGTAGGGATATGAGACGCTCATAAACCTGTGTTAAATTTTGTATGATTTTCTTAGTGCTTTTATCACTTTTAAAACATTTATGATAATAAATCTTGATCAGCAAAACAGGTTGACCTCAGGGATTGCTTCTATGTGTAACAAATTGCTTTTTTTTTTTGATAATGTCATATTTAAATATCATTATAGATAACCACGTTGTCGCATTATGGAAACCCGTTCGAAATACACACATTTATGGAACCATTAAACTTTTATTACAACCAATTATATATTTTTGTAAACAAATTAGATTTGTTTTTTTGTTTTTTGTTTTAGATGAACTTTCTTGCATCGGTTGGAGGCGACGATTACAAGCAACTTACCACGGCTATTTTAAAACAACTATTGACTAAAAAAGTATGCTTGTTATATTCTTTGTATAGCAGGAAACAAAAGAAATCCTTTTCGTCTCTTACGTCCTGCAAGGTGGTTATAGCTAATTTTCTTTAATTATTTATCTTCATATTTAGTTGAATTAATAAATTTGATAATTTTTAATATTACATTTTGTTCATGTTTTGTTTAACATTATTAACATAAAATTTGTTTTCAGCTGCCATAAAAAAAAAGTTTGAAAACGCTAATAATAAGAGCATTAAAAAAAGATTCGGCAGCTTTCTGGCTACGGCCATTGATAGAGACGGCGGAAGAGAGAATAGAACCGCAATTGGGCAAAGCCCAAATTTGAGCGATGAAAATGAATGTCGCGAAGATAATCTGATAGTGAATCAATGCCCATTATCTGATAGTGTAATGCTGTAATATATATATATATATATATATATATATATATATATATATATATATATATATATATATACACATATATATATATATATATATATATATATATATATATATATATATACATATACATATATATATATATATATCTATATATATACATATATATATAT